GAAACACGGCAAACGCATTTAGTGAATCAATCGAAATCCGACGGATGTGATTAGATTTCATGCATGATCGGCGTCGAGCGTTTCAGCAATTGATACACCGTAATACACCTATGAATCGATTGGAATCGATATATTGTTGCGTGTCAGGGACCGTGATGATCGTTTCAATAAACTATCGATATTCTTCGCTTTCTTCTCTTCTAATATTTCACATTGTTGAGTAAATACGTGCCAGATCTTCTATGATATTTGTGTAATAAATTTTTTTCTTCGACTTACAAAAATTTTTAGAATACTCGCATGTGGATACATTTATTTTTAATAATTTGAAACGGAATCAATTTATTTTTGTCCTTGATTTTCGATAATTTTGAAGAATCGCTCCACTTAATTTTTTAGACGCTCTGTTTTATTTATTTCTTCTTTGTTATAAAGGTATATTTATCGAAGAGAATTATTGTAAGTTCGTGAATCTCTTTTAAAATTTATTCTATTCTTATTCTATTCTATTTTGTAGTTTGAATTAAATTTTTCGTATATACAGATTGCGTGAGATAAAACTCTTTTGGTTCGAGGCTTTTAATATGCCATATGATTTTAAGTTACGACGAAGGATATTGGATCGTTTATTTCAGTCATGAACACAGAATTCCAAGTTTTTTTTTTTTTCTTCTTCTTTTAAGCAAGTAAGAGTTATTAGATTAATCAATGTATACTTGAAAATCAGGATTATTCGAACGGTTAAGAAAAAGAGAAAATGTCATGGAGAGGAATTCAATAAAGAGTCATTGCTTCGTTTTTTTAATTAACGACGATTTTATAAGTTTTGCTTGAAATCAATCGATGCGATTAAAAACGATTTATTCTTAAATTGAAATTACGATCTTAATTACATTACATTCAAAAGAAAATTGCAGCATCTCCAATAATATTATCATTTAAATTTTTTCTTTCTTAAATTTAAGAGATTCTTCTAACTTTACATCTCTTATCCACACTCTTATCCTTTCTTACTTATATTATAAAACTCTTTCTTCAATTTTAAGCTTATATCAACTTGTACAGAGTAAAATATTATCAAAGTATAAAAAAAAATATATATATTTTATACAATGATACTCTGTATCTCTCATCGAAAGCTTAAAAGCTTAATTTTTCTTGCCTATTTCTATGCACCAAAATCATCGTTATAAGATTAAAGGAAACGATTACACTTGCCTGGTCGTCCGTGTCGTAAAAATGGTTAAAATCCTCCCATTTTATGTTAAATCGCGGCGAATACATTATTCTTGGCAGAATTTTCGGTGTTAATAGCAACGATCCCTCTTCCTTGACACGCGTTTCACCATCGAAAATTTAAGGGAGAAGATGGGGGAGTGGATCCCGACGCGTCGGATAATGCATCGCAGGTCGGAGCTGTCTATCACGCGCAACACCAAGTCAGACAGCCACGCTTTTCTGATTTACTATCTAGTAGATTTCCAAGTTTGTCGAGTACGTTGCTTACTACCCTCCTACTGCCCCAGCTACCTTAAAATATTTATTCCTTCAACGATCATTTATGGCTTCGTTCATCTAACGTGGCGAGCGAATTAAAAATATCTGTCTTTTGCACTTCTCTTTGCTCGTGGCCATCAAAATCACAGAAATTTTCCATATTTATTTCCAACCTCGTTCATTCAGCTTCGAAAAATTTGCTTTTCAAAACCTACAACAAATATTTCTCTTCGCGTTTCTCTAATCTCTGTTAATTATATTAATTGTACGTAATTAATATTCTGAATCTGTAACAACTCTTCAAAAAGAAAGAATTCAACTAGTGAGAAGATCGTGGCCACCTACGATTCCATCGAAATTCCTGCGAGCAACTCGAGGGGCAATCGTACGAAGGAGAGGGAGAGGGGAAGGCTAGAAATTCTCCACGGAAGAGATCGGTGGATGTCCGGCATTTCGAGGCTGACTGGGCGGTTTTTTTTAAATCGAAAACGCGATGACTTCACGCTCGCGTACCCGCCGCCATCGATCAACCCCGCAAATTGCTCCCCGTACAAATTTTTTTCCTTCCTTCCTCGAGCTCGCACGTACGACGCTCACGACCCGCCTCTCCCATTCACCTGCCCCACTCACTTCCAAGAAACTTGCTCCTCTCCTCTCCATGCTCGAACAAGTCGACGCGGCCGGGATTCCAAACTGCGGATTGTTTTTCCACGTCGCTATTTACTTTTTCACGCCGGCGTGCACGGGATGAATGAGGAAGGAAAGCTCGAAGGGTGAACCGACGACGACTCGCCTTTCTCGCCCTTATTTCTCCCTTTCTCCCCTCCTCCTTTTCTTTTTTTAACTTTTCTTCTCTCCTCTTCTTCTCCTCGCCGAGCATTCCATTCGAATGCTTTCTTTCCTCGGTCGAAGCCCGATGATGAATGGTTATTGGAATAAAGTTATGCCGGTGCTAATGTTGCGAAACGTTTCGAAACTGGGTAAACACGATTTCCTACGTCGTTATTATTCCGCTCGAGAACACTTTTGTTTTCATCGCGGTCGACTAAATGTTAGCAGGAAATCGCGAACGTATTTACGAATCGTGTGGGATTGCTTTTTCGACAAGCACAACAATTGCGAGGATCAGTGGTTTGGATGAGTTTTTTCGATTCTATCTTCTTTCTGCGTGGTTATTTTATGCATCTTATAAAATTAATATACCCACAATAATCTTAGAATTGTGGCTTTAACGAAAAAATTACTTATTTCCTTAATTGTTGCTAGAATTTTTTATGTACTTTTGTTTAAATAAAAAAAATATTAATTTTTGAATAAGAAAATATTCGAATCATTTTCATAACGTCAATTATTTCGTTTTTGAAATTTACGTGAAACGAAAAAATTACTTATTTCCTCAATCGTTGCTAGGATTTGTTATATACTTTTGTTTAAATGAAAGAAATATTAATTTTTGAATAAGAAAATATTCGAATCATTTTTATAACGTCAATTATTTCGTTTTTGAAATTGATAAATTATAGCCAGCTGAGATATCGTAGTTACGGAGGAGAGGAGGCACGGAAACTCAAAGCTCTTCCGTTTCTCTTCCAATTTCTGGGTCAGCCAGGCTAAGAGTTTCCTCGTTTCGAATGATTCGTAGGATCCTTAGGAAGAAGATCGGGAAACGCGGTGGAAGATTAAACACGCCTACGAGCTCTGTGTAATCGAACCAGCTTGCTCTTCGATCGTTCTAAATTCCCTGGCGATGAGTCGTTCAAAGGAACACATCGTTCACACCCATATAAATGTGAAAAGGTTAGTGCGAGATCACCGACCACGTTAGTTTTTTTTTTTTTTCCTTTTATTGTCATTATCTTAGATCGTGAATTTCCTCCGTGACATTTATTCCCTTCTATAAGGGATAGATAATATATAATGAAGAGAATAATGTAATTTTGTTATCCGCCGTTTCATCAATTCGAACGATATACAAATGTCACGGTTCACACTGTGTTACTTTATTCATCACACTATATTATGTCTGATTAGATGAAAATAATTATTTTATCGATATTTTATTTTCTCTAGTTTGCCAAATATCTTTTATCGAATAGAATATCCAAGAAAGGAACAAGAAGATAAATATTGTAAATCTTTCCAAAAATACGTATAATACATAAGAGAAAAGTTTATTCCAAAACGAAAAACACTACAAATTTGTGCAACAGTTTCATTGATTCAAAGATGAATGAAAATAATCCTGCAATAAAATATTCGAATCAATGATTGACACCATTGACTCAATGAAGTAAATAATTAACCACCCACAACGATGGTAACGAAACTTCGTGACACTCTATTTCAACAGACATCAGCCTGTTGCATACCATCAGCAAAACATTCTAACTAATTCGACCAAACGATTCTCTCTCTCTCTCTCTCT